AGAGAGAGAGAGAGAGAGAGGAGGGAGGGAGGGAGGGAGAGTGAGAGGAGGGAGGTAGGGAGAGAGGGGGGGGAGGGAGGGAGAGAGGGGGAGAGGGAGAGAGAGAGGGGGGATGGAGGGAGAGAGAGAGGGGGGAGGGAGGGAGGGAGAGAGGGAGAGAGGGAGGGAGGGAGAGAGGGAGAGAGGGAGAGAGGGAGAGAGGGGGGAGGGAGAGAGGGAGAGAGGGGGGAGGGAGAGAGGGAGAGAGAGAGAGAGAGAAAGAGAGAGAGATATATATAAATCTTAAAAACATATATATATTTTTTTACAATGTTCTCTAGGAATTAGCTCATTCAAATCTTCACATATTGGTTCACATTAAATCACAAGTGAAAAAAATCCAAAAAAACAGCTGAAGCATTTTACCGCATCACTAGGAATCTGCTGCGACAGAACCTCATAGTTCAGCTTCTCTGCTTCATCCGAATGAGAGGACTGCAAGAAGAAAAGAAAATGACAATAATAATAATAATACAGTGACAACAATAAACCCAATGACGTTGATAATGATTATGATAATGATGATGATAATGGAGATGGTGGTGGTGAATACGATGATGATGATGATGATGATGATGGTGAATATGATGATGATGATGGTGAATATGATGATGATGATGATGATGATGATGAGGATGATGACGACGGTGATGGTGATAGTGATGCTGCTGCTGATGATAATGATGATGGTGATGATGAATATGATGATGATAATAATCCTAATACTACTCAAGCTAAATTTTCAAGTACAGACTTCAAGTACAGACCTAAATGACACAGAATCTATAATGTTCATTCACCTGTGAATAACATAAATTTTCTCGTATTTCCTCATCCTCTTCTCAAAAATCGACAATAATCTTTACAACATTCTTGAAGTTTTCAGTGTGGCTCTTTATAATGCTCACCATAATAATAATAATGACCATAAGAAACAAAGCACCAAAAGCTAGGTTTTTACGCACATGAAAACCTCGTAGAAATTATCTTGACATAATCTTACCTCATGCGATGCCTCTCTGCTGGGCGTGGAGCTGGACGAGGCTGGGTCGACGTCGGAGAGGCTCAGGCCGGGCACGGAGGCGAATGGGGACACCGCAGTGATGTCCAGAAAGAGCTGGTCGTACTCCGGGGCCCCATCGATCACACTCCGAGACATGGAGCTGTCTGTGCTGTAGGTCCTGTGGTAGTCCCTGCACTCGGAGGAGTTGGTGAAGGAATGGTCGCGGCTGTGCTGCTTCTGGCTCTCCTCCAGGGGACTCTGAACCTCCACTCTGGGGTTCTTCCCCTGACCCTGCGATGCCTGTAGGTCACTGTCCGTAGTTTCTAGGGCCGAGTCCCTCTTGTCCTCTGTGGCAGCCCTTTCTTCCCGTCGTGAGCCAAGAGAATTGAGCCTGTCCTTCTCTTCAGCTTGGAGTGTGTCACTCTCCTGTACCTTGGTGTCCTTGCTTTCTCGGCTTTCCATGTTGCTGATGAAACTGGTCTCTGGAGTACCACCAAAGATCATGTCAAACATCTGGTCACTGACAGGGGTTTCCACAATTGGAATGTTCATACCCTCCGTGCGTTCATCCATTACAGTGCTTGCCACATCAGTGGCTGCAAGCACAGGGTCAGAAACAACACTCTGTAACAGAAGCAATATGATCAGTAAAAGATCATTTTACATATACAAACACACTCACACACAAACAGTTTCAGTCTTGACATTAAGTTACTTATGGCACCACAAGTACTAAAAAAGCAAACAGAACTACTGAAAATGCAAATGGAAATTTCAATTAACTCCTTGTTCGCGGGTGGCATCTACTATGATGCCATGGCAGTGTAGCGCCAATGCTGTGGGATGCAACCCTACAGATGCAGCCCACACAGATATATCCGTTTGTCAGACCGCACAGTCTGACAAACACACTCACACTGAATTAACTCTCATATAAAAAACTAACGTAACACCCCTAGTACTGGAATTCCTATTGCAGTATCACTGCAGACACAAATGTGTATAGTGCAAGAGAGAGTTAAACAGATTCTCCCACTATCATTCTTCAAATTCCATTCTAATCCAGCCAAGAAAGTTCAAACACAAACACACCAATGCCCTTTTTTCTCCCGCATACCTGAACACTCGGTGCCCACAGTCCGGCCAGAATCAACGGGGTCTGAGTCCAGGTGTTGAGAACAGCCGCGTTGGTGGCCAAGTTGAAGGTCAGGGCGGAGATGGGCTGAAGGACGCGGAGGATGATGTCGGCTCTTTCGGGATCGCGGAAGACTGCAGTCGTTCTGGAGGGGAAGAAACTCTTATGGGGGAGGAATGAATGTTTGCAGGAGAGGAAATGAGAAGACACGAATAGTATGAAATAAATTGACTGAATCAGCACTGTGTAGTAAAGAATAAATACATTAGCAATATCAATATTGATATTTTGGCCATGAACTTATTGTAAAAGTTATAGAGGTAAGCAATCAGATATTTCAATTATTTCAAACCAACAGATGGAACACATAAATCATTAATCATTAATCTGGAAAAGCAATTGCAAAATATTTCCTTGCTAGTGTACAATCTTCTCAACAGTTCTCTAGCCACAGAGTAATGGAAAGCAGAAGACAATTATTACAGGTCATAAACCCCAACAGTCTACATAACCCAATATCATCTTTGTACCTATAATAATCCTTGAGGGTACGATTGTCCTGGAGCAGAACGCTGAGATAGCTACAGATCTGGCCCTGGTTGAGCGCCAAGCGAACCCACGCTCGACTCCTCCCAACTTCGCTTGTGATAAAGGAAAGATCTCCCACCTGTTCACCGAGAGAAAAAAAGAGTATATTTTAGGGATGAGCCCAAAATTTTGTTCTGCGAGGTTTGGCAGGGTTATATTTTTGTAGAGTGAAAAATTGCTATGCAGTCTTTTTTCTTACCACAGTCTGTGGACACTGATTCAGTATCTCAACTAATTTGCAACACAGGAAGCAATACAGTATGATGATAAAGTTTGGTTGTAATTAACAAATATCTATTCATTACATCAAAACATTCAATGTAAACTATAAGTCTATACATTCTCCAAAATCCTTACCTTCACCCTCTGCAACCAGGTAAACGTTCTGTCAACTGTGGTTTTGTCTTGAGAATTTTGTTTCCACATAGATAGTCACCAAGAAGTCAATTAGCAAGCCCTACGTGACCTCACTCAATCTCCCCATTCCTTGACTCTTGGAATTTTTTCTTCTTCTTAAGTAATTAATATATTGATACTGCTACCATTATTACTGACTTTGAGATTATCATAATATAATCAAAATACTAATAAAACAAAATAAAAAAAGATCCATTCAGCAAATAAAGGAAAAGAGATATAAGTGAGATAGGTATGACTAGTAATCGACTCCTTGGTGAGTAAACTCTTGTGGAGCTATCTATGCGTATACACAAATAATTAACTAAAATCATACATCTCATCCCCAAAGGAATTCCTAATGTCATTTCATTTACTATGTATCAAACTTGCCTCAAAAGGTAAGAAAATCCATTAGACTATATATATCTCCGTGAAAGTAATGACACACATAAATTGAGAAATATCCTTTGCTATATTCATCATACAAAAATGAGTTACACACATATGAATTCTTATTATATTCATCTATCTATATTCACTGTAATACATGAATGTAAAAAGATTCATGAAAAGCACCAGTACTTCTCTCTCTGTTCTTCAGTGAAGTGATAACTAGCAAAAGCAAAGAAATAAAAATCAAGATACAGTTAAAGAGAAAAACATTCCACAAAAGAAATCAAATTTTTAATTAGGAAAAAACAACCTTGGAAGTTAATATTCTTCTCTCATTTTACAGAGAGGGAGAGGGAGAGAGACTTGACTGTGGCCTAATGAAATGGTCTCTTGTATTTAAATGAGTATATGTTATGTTATAATCACCAGTGCAGAATGCATACCATACTAATTTTCAAGTAAACAAAATTACCATTTAACAGATGTTTTAATTTTATCACAGTACAAAATCAAAATACAATTGATAGTCTTGTATCACAACAAATGTGGATTTTCATTTTCATCTAACAGTTCTAATTGGTCTTCTGTTACTATTCATTGAGACTATAATAATGGCTAATGGTTAAAAGCAAAATAAATGTGCTAGACATCTAAGGTCATGTAGCACTATAGTAAATGTTAGTGAAGGGTGGTTGAGTTAGTCATTAGTTATCAAAGCTGGGCAAAGGAACTGGTGAGAGAATGAGTTAAGGTCGGGTGAGGTAATGTAAAGGGGGTTAGACTAAATGAAGGATATATACGCATTTGAGGAAATGAAAACAGGTTGTCGAGGCAGAAAATGTGGGATTTTGAGACTATAATAATATTGCAAAACATGAAGGAATAGGGTTTTATATTACCTATTAACCCATTCGCGCCAGGTAAAAATGAACAAAAAATGGGGAAAATGCTGTGCTCATTTTTTATACTTTTTGTGAAATGTCTCTACACATAGATGGCTCTGCCTTACCTGATTTCATTAGGTGGGAAAATGTATTTTTTAAAAGTGCTATGAATATCAATGGTTATTTTTATTACAAGCATTATAATTACTATAATATTATAAACATTAGTAACAGCAAAATAAGATAACGTAAACTATTTTTGTAAATTAAAGAAAAGGGTAAACGGGCGGTACAAGTACAAGTGTAGCCATCTATGTGTAACAACAATTAAACAAGTAAACTCACAGTGGGCATACGTGACACCCGGCGCCAATGGGTTATTTCCTGCATTCTAATTTCAGATTATCTTCTAACAAACCCTTCCTTCTTCAATCTTACAATATCACCTTCGTCAGAACAGACTTAAGGAGGAGAGGCATATGCGAAGGATAATTATATCATAAAAAATAATGAACGAACAAATGAATTAAATGGTTGATAGCTAAAACAAATAAATGTCCTAGACATCAAAGGTCACATAGCATTATGGTAAAATATTGTGGCAAAAAGTGTAAAAATGAGTTAATAATTAGGATAAGTAGACAGAAGAAGGGGATGAAGAAGAGAAGGAAAAGGAAGAGAAAACGGAGAAGAAAAGACCCTGCAAAACTAGTCGAGCTGAGAGCTGAGGGCCAAAGCAGGGGCGATCCTTCACAAAGGACCCCAGTCAACACCTCCTAAGCCCCCCCCTCCCCCCCCACCACCACAAAACAATGAGCAAGTGATGGGGGGGGAGGGGGGAGTGATGGGGGGTAGGGGGAAGGGGACAATCAATTAAAGCTTTTCACCTAGGCATGTGCTTCATCTGTTTTCTTTGACTAATAGAAGGGAATTTTTCTCTCATATTTATCAGGTTTTAAACTATTGTTCTCCCGGCAAAAAGCCAAGAAGTACTGAGAACTAATGCAAAGAAACATTCAATACATCTTACAGGATTGCAATTCTAGTCAAGATAAGATATACAATCTGGCTACAAACAATTCTTCTCTTTCATGCCTTTTGATATATTTCTATTCACAAATATTCTAATTTGTTCTTCCTATTTCACTTTTCATTAGCCTACATTTTCTCTTTCATGACCTCCACTGCATAAATACAGGCTCAGTAAAGCCAATATATATATATTTTTTTTTCTATTCTAGAAGTTTGAATAACATGGGAAAAATAAATGGGGATATCATATTGGACTTTCAAATTCTTTATTAATCACAAAGAAATAAAGAGCTTTCATTAGTTTCTTTATTACTTACAATTCTTTGCGCAAACTTTCAAGGGAGTGAAAAAAGCGAAATAGCCGATGTAGATTTTGGTGCAGGCAAGACATGCAACTATGTCTTTTTACATCAACACAATAAACCCGAACAGTCATAGCCTTTATGGTAACGTATGAGTAACTGGCAACCCACCTGCTCCATGAGGTCTCGGTGACTAATGATCATGATGACAGGCCAGAAGTTGGGAACAGGCATCCTGTCAGGGTCGGCCCCGAGGAGAGCTGACATCCGCTCTCCCAGGGAGTCTCGGAGACCATGGATGAGGATGGCTTCTATCACATTACACAGGTTATTGGTGTTGTCCGAGTGTCCCACAATTGCTCCCAGGTTTCCCTTCATGGGTCCCCTTACATCCGAAACACCACCTCCGGCACCAGGTTGCAACACGCTCTGCACAGCCTCCTTCAGTCGTGTGATAAGGGAGGCACTGATGGCTGCCTCCCTCCTCTCACGCTGCAGTCGCTGGCTAAACATTACTTTGGATTTCAATACTTGAATGGCACTGATAAATGTCAACTGTTTGTTTCCCTCCACTAAACTAAACCGAGAAAAAATCAGTCTATCAAAGTAATATCATACTGGTGCAGGAGTTCTGTGGTTTGCTCATACGCGCTTCCTCTTCGGATTAGTCTATAAGCCCCAGGCTGCGACAGGTCAACGATGGTAGATCCCTCCCGGCGGAATTGGTCTTTTCCAAGGTGACCGTGGTCAAACACTGTATGCAGTTTGCCCCACAATTCCTGAAACTCTTCAACAGAGAGAGGACTTTCTTTCGAACTGATGTTTGCACTAGTCAGGGCTAGAGGAGAACCACAAAGTTTGACTACATTTCTTATAAACGCGTGATCAGGAATGCGTATACCTACTAAGTCTGTTCCAGGATTCAGGGCCGGATTCAGTAAGGGTGTGCGCTTGAAGACTAAAGTGACAGGACCTGGCAGAAGTGAGGTAAGCAAAGAGTGTGGCACAGTCACCTCCCCCCATACATAAACATCATCTACCTCTGCAACACAAATGGCCAATGGCTTAGAGGAGCTACGCTTCTTTATCTCATAAATCCTCTCAATGGCTTCATTATTCTGAGCAAGTGCTGCAACTCCATAAATAGTATCAGTTGGCATGGCAATTACATGCCCACTTTGTAAAGCACTTGCTGCTTTTTCCACATGACTAACAAGGGCAGACCCTCCCCATAAAGGAACCACATTGCTCATTGGGAGAATGTTACTTGCAGCCGTTGCTGCCACATTACTCATTTGTCTTATAATTTTCCAAGCACTCGACAGTATCTTCATTAAGAAATCAATCTTGCCGAATAACACCACCACGAGAAAGGCTCAAGTCTATCACCAAGGGGTGGAACACAGCTTCTTGTGTGAACTAGGTTATTCCTTCCAGCGATGTCCACAGGCAGGTGAACAGCACTTGTAGAAGACGGTCATAGGCTCATCAGCTGATCTGGTCTGCACTTGCATAAAGAATGCTCGGGGATGGGTGCACTTGGGGCAGGGCTCGTCGGTGGAGTCTACGTTCTTCCAGGCTGCTGACCCACCTAACACGTCATCTAGGGCCTTCAGCTTGGGGTAAATCTTATACGAGACGCATCTCTTCACAGGGAACACGTACGCACAGGTGACGCATGAGAATCGCATACCCTGTGGCAAAAAATGAAAAATGGTGAATCTTCAAGGAATATACAGAACAGAATTATAAATATAGTATAGAAAAGAAAAAGCAAAAGCAAAAGTAACAGATAAAAAAAAAAAAAAAATTGTGACAAGTTTTATAACCATGAAACAAACTCACCCTAAAAAATTACTCTAAGAAAATAAAAAAGGATAGAAAGGAAGCAAAAGAAAGAAGACAACCACCACCCCTCCCTCTTACCTGAGATCCTTCCTCCACAATAAGGAGATTACCACATGTTGGGCAGAAGTAAAGCATTCTTCCATCTGGAAAGATTTATCAATATGTTAATAATCAAATCCAAGACACGTTTAGAATATTGGAATATGTATAAAAGTAATTAATCTTCATGTAAGAATTTGCTCACAATGTAATAATAATGAGAGTGTGAGAGAGAGAGAGAGAGAGAGAGAGAGAGAGAGAGAGAGAGAGAGAGAGAGAGAGAGAGAGAGAGAGAGAGAGAGAGAGAGAGAGAGAGAGAAGAGAGAGAGAGAGAGAGAGAGAGAGAGAGAGAGAGAGAGAGAGAGATAGAATGAGGAAGGAAAAAAATAAAGAAATAAAAACTATGAACAAGAGAAGCTACAGACACACACACACACACACACACACACACACTCACACACACACACACACACACACACACACACACACACACACACACTCACACACACACACACACACACACACACACACACACACACACACACACACACACACACACACACACACACACACACACACACACACTCACACACACACACACACACACACACACACACACACACACACACACACACACACACACACACACACACACACACACACACACACACACACACACACACAACTCTAAATAACTTTTTTAAAGCACAATATGACACCCAGAACATACTTCACAATCATGATGTCTACATATGTCTCTTCCATTCACAAAAAGGAATACAGTTCATAACACAAGTGAAATAAACCTGGTACATGGACCAATGGTCTGGTAGATGATACAACAAAGTAATAGATGGTGCAATACAACTTAGGATGATGCAATACTAAATCATCTCATGCAATACAGTAAATAATTGTTGAGTATTTTACTTGAGAAGTGATACTAAGTAAAAGAATATCATGTCGATTTATTTATCTATACAAACTAGTATGTATAACAATAAAATTAATGCAAATATTCATATGATAGGTACCAAGAAGACCATCACTGATTACACCATCATTTGAAATGGACTCAATTCTATACAGAGTGGTAATGAAAAAGGAGAAAAGTTTCTGAAAATCATATATATCGTCTATTTGATAAATGTGGCATTAAAATAAATGTCTATAGTAGAATTCAAAACTGTCTAACTTCAGCTTCATACAGCCATATGGTACAAAGTAAACTCTGCCTGAAATGGACACGACAACAAAAAAAAAAGCCATTTTTAATCCATGGTGATTCCTTCATAAATTGATACTAAGGGAGTTATGTAACATATAATACTCTTCTACAAATTTACATAATGGCTGCACTATGACGGGGAAAATTTAACGATTATCATACAGAGAGGATACATTTACTTGTTCACACATATCATAATCTCTGCAGACAAAGACTAATGTCAGAAATGAAGAAAAAGGCTTGTGATAAATGCCACTTGTAGAGTATTAAGTCCATGGTGATTAGGTGGGCAGAGCACTCATCAAATCATTAAGTAACAGGTAAGGGAGGTTTTTGACTCATACCAGGACGTTTGTGGATGCTATAGGGACTTAGTCTCATAAGGGTGCGGTCATTCTGTGAATCATTGTCACTACTTCTTATGTCATTCATAATGGAAAATGATGACAGATTCACACAAGTTACACTGATAATAATTATAACAAGGAATAATATTAATTGAGTTATGGTTGGAGGTCTGTGTTATAGGAATAAAATACCCTCAAAATATACCTTATAAAAGAAAGAAAATCCCAAGATACTAAAAACGAATACAATAAAACAACAACACCTACTCTAGAAACAACAACAATAAAAAACAAGAAATCGTACCCAAAAACATCACACAGACACACACAAAAACAAAAACAAAAAAACTCAAAACCACTGGCCTGCTTTCCACTCCCTCTCTAAACCCTAAAACCACGAAGAATAAAACCCTAAAACCTTCCCTTTTAAACCATCACAAAAAAAACCATTCCCACACTAAAACCTAAAAGCCTAAAACACTCAACACACTAAAACCTAAAAGCCTAAAACCTCCATCGACTGCCCCTAAATCCCACCCAAGACGACCCAAAACCAGACCGAAAGAGACCCAAATAAGACCATAAAACGCATAAAATCACCTGAAATAACCGAAAATCACGAGCTAAGGCATGATCAGCTGTTTCCACAACGAGGTAAACATCGTGGGGGTGGAGCGTTCGTTGGTGACTGAAAAATTATCTAGTGGGATTTAAAGAAAGATGTATGTTTGTTATGTGTCTGTGTTTCTGTGATTATTTATTCATGTATGTGTGTATTTTATTTATTATGCGTGTGTGTGTGTGTGTGTTTTCCGAGAGCATTCGTTGATAAGTGATTTTATTTTAAGTGTGATTTTAAGGATGTATGTTTGTCTGTGTGTAATTATGTATTCAGTTGTATGTGTATTTTATTTATTATGCATGTATGTATTCCTCTCTGTATGTGCGTTTATGCATATAAAATTATTTAACGTATATACATCGGCGGACACACAAGAACAAACACGCATTCATTTCCACCATAAGATTTAAAAAATGAATAAATAAATAAATACGTAAACAAATCACAATCTAACTTAGTCAATAAAACTATAAAAGAAAAGAAAAAAAAATAATAACAAAACACCCCCGCTGCGGTTGCCAGTTCGTGATTTTCCCGCCGATTAAACGAGACCTCCATCTTGGTCCCAGTCAACTTATTTTTCGCCGATTTTTATTTTATTTCTTCTCGTGAGTATTCTTTACTTCATAAACAATCTATTAACCATCTCTCTGGCCGGTGTAAACGGAGATAGACGTGGGAAATGAAGTAGATATATCGTATTTTAACAAAAGATGTAAAAGGAGGGGAATGGAATGTGTATATTTACTTTAATTTTTTTTCAGATTTTTTGGTGTGATTTTCTGTCTTTTTTTCCGTGTATTTAATTCTATATGTATTTAAGCTCAGTGGAGGATTTTATGTAGAGCCATTCGACGTATCTGCTCTTGATTAAGCTTGGGAAAACCCAGAAACAGACAAACACAAAAATACGAACAAATGTAAACAAGAATAAAATAAAGACAAATACATATAAAGAAAATATAAAGACAAATACATGTAAGATCAAGCGATATTATTATTAATTTTTCAGACACAGTAGTATTATTAATTAAATGATATTATTATTAATTTTTCAGACACGATAGTATTATTAATGAAACAATATTATTTTACTTTTTGGACACGATATTATTATTAATTAAGCAATATTATTTATTAATTTTCTAAGATACAAGACACATTGCAGGAGAGGCATTATTTTTGGAGTAAACAATACACAGAACTGATAGATTGACAAATTTTGACATTTCTATGACATTTCTGTGTCGTTCATTGAGAAACTGTCATAGAATTTGTATGATTACTTCATTATCATCTATATATATATAATTTTTTTCCATTTTTTGAGCGTTGCTGTTTTTTTTTGTGATATTTGTTTATTTCTTTTAGAAAGACCACACTTTTTTTTTTTTTACCAAGTATTTGGATTATAGCAATAAAAAGATAAAAAAAGGAGAGAAAGAAAGAAAGAAGAGGAGGAAAAGGGAGAAGAAGAATTAAAAAAAAAGAAAGATAAAGATGAAGAAGAAGAAAAGAGGAAGAAAGGGAAAAGAAAAGAAAAGAAAAAAAAATATCTTCATTGCATTCCTAAGTTACCCCATATCTGCCAGGCGTTGCGACCCACTAGAGCGCGTCAATCAGAAAGTCCAGCGACATGCAGTGGACTCCCAGGTTGCCAGAAGTCACCAGAGTCATTGACACAGAGAGATTTCTGATACCGTCATTGAAGGCTGGGGTTGGGGCTCATTTCCCAGAGAAAGGCAGTGGCTTGTACGCTATTCTGGCATTTGTGGCCAAGATTTCTATGCAGTGCGAGGGGAAAAGAGAAAGGCAGCAGAATAGTGCACAAGCCACTTTTTTCTTCTTCTTCTTCTTCTTTTTCTTCTTCTTCTTTTTCTTCTTTTCTTCTTTTCTTCTTTTCTTCTTTTCTTCTTTTCTTCTTTTCTTCTTTTCTTCTTTTCTTTTCTTTTCTTTTCTTTTCTTTTCTTTTCTCTTCTCTTCTCTTCTCTTCTCTTCTCTTCTCTTCTCTTCTCTTCTCTTCTCTTCTCTTCTTTTCTTTTCTTTTCTTTTCTTTTCTTTTCTTTTCTTTTCTTTTCTTTTCTTTTCTTTTCTTTTCTTTTCTTTTCTTTTCTTTTCTCTTCTTTTTCTCTTCTCTTTTCTTTTCTTCTCTTTTCTTCTCTTTTCTTCTCTTTTTTCTTCTCTTCTCTTCTCTTCTTCTCCTTCTTCTTAGGAAATTACACAAGGCCCCATACATCTTGAACAGGGTATTTTATATAAAAAGAAATGTCATTAGATATTTGTATTTGAATGTTTACATGCATGTATATTTTTTTAGTGCCAAGTTACTTATACTTATACTTATATTAAATATTTTGTAATGAAAATACATTTATAAAGAGTAGATTACTGCCCTTGAATTGGAAATAACTGCAATATAGGGTCAGTGTGAACTATCTCCCAAGCCGTCAGCCGTGACACCCAAGGCCAGCTATGCCAAGTGAGATTAGCCATTGGGAGCAGGGGGGAGCAGGCCTCTGGTTCGTCCTCTCCTTGCTGCAAATAAGTTGGTTTTGCGAATAAAAAAAAATGACATATCAAGATCTCAAAAAAAACAAAAAAACTCTTGAAGTATATTTTATTTATATAGCAATGATTTTAAAAGATGTGAAAATGTGTAATCTAGTAGAATGTACTAAAAAGGTTACAATTTTATGATTAAAGCATGTTATTGAAGTGAATACAGAATTTACTCTTTTAGGGGGAGTAAATTCTGTGGGTAAAGTCTTCTTAGACTGTGAAAGTTTAGTGTAATTTGACAGAGGCTGAAAATTAGCAGTTATTGCAAAAGAACCTTCTATTGAGGAAAACTGTAATAATATATACATATTTTTCATCTTACAATATGTGAATTGAGTTTAGTATAACTTCTTTTAGAGAGAAAGAAAAGAAAGGGTAAATTTATGGGTAGGTAAAGCCTCCTAAAAAGGGGATAGCAAGGTTATAAGTTTCTTGAAGGGTAAGACTATAAAAGTATATGTCATTATAACTGAAAAGGTAGTTCTAACCCATTTTTCAGTGATCAGTTCCCTGAAGCGAAGATAAGAGTTAAAGAAACTTCCAATAGTTTTGAAAACAGATTTTTTTGTTTTTTTCCCATTTGATTCTGTTAGCTATGTCTTTTCTGTGATTTCTAACAGAAAGCCTACAATCTGAAGTCCAACCCAATAGTGATATAGGTTTAAGATAATTGTTTCCTCTCAGCCAGAAAGTAGATGTAAATGGATAAGCTGACAGATACCAGGTTTTCCTTACGTACAAAAAGTAAATATATTTGTTTACACATTTGATTTTGCAACCTCTAATCTTTTTACTATTCAATTTGATAACTTTAGATTTTGTTGAAGGATTTTAGGACATGATATGGTGTAAAGTTTCATTACTAAAGCCCTGTCAGTATGTGCAGTCAGGGCAAGTGGCATTTTGAACCCAAACAGAGAAAGAAAAAGAGATAGGAGTGATGTGGCGAATACTGTCATAAGTATTAAATTGCTGACATTATTTGTGAATTTTAATAGTGTGGACAGGTCTGTGTAGGTTGCTGTTGTGATTTGTCTTGAGGAGATTTAGGTTAGAAAATGATATAAGATGTTTTCATGTATTTATTTTATATTTATACATGCATATATATATGTGTATATTTTATATATATGTGTATATTTTATATATATGTGTGTGTATATATATATATATATATATATATATATATATATATATATATATATATATATATATATATATATTATGTATATATATGTATATATATCTATATATGTATATACATATATACATATATACATATATACATATATACATAAATACACACACACACACACACACACACACACACACACACACACACACACACACACACACACACACACACACACACACACACACACACACATCCACACATCCACACACACACATCCACACACACACATCCACACACACACATCCACACATACACATCCACACATACATATACACTACACACACATTTTGATTTAGTTCTTTATAGAAAATTATAAGATTAATGCTGTAATTGAAAAAAAAACATAAGCCCAGAGAGGCATTATGCTCCCTGCCACTTCCCTGAAAATTCTTCTTTTTTTTTTTTTCTTATTCTTTTTTATGTAAGTGTTGCCAGTTTTAAGTGGAGTTTCTTATTTGTTTCTCTTCCTTTTTTCAGGAGGTGGCAGGAGAGCTGATTTTGTCTCAAGGGTTATCTTAAACAGAATTTATTTGGGGGAAGAAATTTGATTATCGCGACACACACAAAAAAACAAAAACAAAAACGGCGAACGAACAAAGATGAATCGTTGGTATTGGTGCGACTCGAGCTTAACGTCTGGAGAGGCAGTTAGGTCGACCGTCAATGGGATCCGGTTGTATGACGGGGATAAGAAAACGAGCTATGACGACGGAAGGCTGACCCTGACCAACCTGCGTCTGTTGTGGAGGCACGAAAACCAGTCCTCCTCTCTGGGGCTCCACCTCGGCCTCGTGGTGCTGGTGGAGGAAGAGTCGGGCGGCTTCACCTCCAGTCCGAAGTTGGTCCTCCACCTGGCTCTCCCTTCCCACACACAACCCGCTGGACCTGTGGCTTCTAGCGGCTACTCTCACATTAAACTCTCATTTAGACAAGGAGGATGTTCGAGCTTTCATCAAGTGCTGCAAAGGGCTCTGGGTGACGCGGAATGGGAGAGGATAAATACTCAATCCTTGCCGCCACCCAGCCGAGGCAACCAGCCCATGCCTGGGGGCAGGAAGATCCACACAGGTATCTTGGGCATAGAGCGCGACATCCAAGCAAAACAAGTGGAGACGAGTCAGAATATCAGCCGTGCCTTCGAGGACTTGAAGAATCTGATGACTCTCGCCAAGGACATGGTTTCACTCTCTAAGAATATTTCCAACAAGATCAAAGAGCACTCTGGGGATATATCGGCCGATGACACGACCCAGTTCAGATCGTACCTCCTAAGCCTCGGCATTGACGATCCAGTGACGAGAGAAACTTACGGATCTGCTACAGAATACCACAAGAGCCTTGCCAGGGAAGTGACGCAGGCACTAGAAGATGCCGTCAAGGATGCTGGAGGGATGATGCTCCTCTCAGAAGTTTACTGCCGCATAAACCGGGCTCGGGGGCTCCAGCTGCTGTCGCCGGAAGATGTCGTGCACGCATGCCAGGTGATGCAGCTCCTGGGACTGTCCCTCAACCTACATACATTCGAGTCGGGCGTGCAGGTACTCCAGACAGCCGGCTTAGATCAAGAAGAAGTGGTCAGGGAGACGGCAGAGGTCCTGAGTCAGCACGAGTCGGATGGGGTTTCGGCCGGAGACTTGGCGCGGGAGTGTGGCGTCCCCTTGCTCTTGGCTCAGGAGAGGCTCTTTGCGGCCGAGAGGTGTGCCAAGGCCGTGAGAGACGAATCAAGTGAGGGGCTTCGGTTCTTCCCCAATCTCTTTTCTCAGAGAGCATGATTTGCAACCTCAGTCTATTGCTTGCACGCACGTCTTTAGGCAAAGTATGTGTTGAACACAGAAGTCGCAAGAAAAATTTATTTGCCAATTGTCATTAAATGAAAATCCAAAATGTGAAATTATAGTTTATTAGAAGTAAAAAAGTGTTTTATAAGGGAGAGAATTATTATTAGTCTAATTATTATTATCATTTATATTACTATTATTATTGTGATTTCTATTCCACTTGCTATTATTGATTGACTAATTAAATTAATTAGTTGATTGATTACAATTTTATTAATTTGTGAAATAGCATGTAACTACACCTAGATATAAACATTATATAATATACATGCAGTGTAACATGACATGTAGAATCTTTAATAAATAATGAAATATCAGTCGTGAATTCTTTTAAGTTTTCATTCCACCTTTTATCTCCCTTTTCTGCAGTTGCATATCAGAAGAAAGAAATATTAATGATTTACCACATGTAGCAAGAAAAGGAAAATAATAAGGCTTAAAATACAATGTTCAAACAACTTCCGTTTCTTAGGATACTTGGAATATGGATCAGAATGTCTATAGGGTTGCTATAATTGCAAGACAAGGTGCAATTACATGTTTTGGATTTGTCTTCATCATAGATATTTCTGATAATGGCAGTATTGAAATGAAAAGCCCTCCCGTTGCTTTGTGAAATTGCTCATCCTCATTTGTAACAAGTTCAGCTATGCTCCAGGAAGCTCAGAGTTTTTAAGAGTGGGATATTTCAGTTTTGAAGCCTATGGAGAATTTTCTCCTCTTATCTCTCTCTTTCTCTCTCTCTCTCTCTCTCTCTCTCTCTCTCTCTCTATATATATATATATATATATATCATATATTTTCTTGCTCATGCTCCATTCCTTTTTTTGCCCCAAATCTACCCTTTCTTTTCTCCTCTCCTTTATTCTCTCACCCTCTTCCTCATACTATTAGTCACTCTCTCACTTGGATATGAAGGGAAACATGACATTTTGGGCTATACTATATTTCAAAGAAACCCTGAAAAAAAACTAGGTATTCTACATTTCAAGAAGAAGCAAATAAAGTGTGCCTAGATATGATACATCTTTCAAAGTCTTTCCACTCACCCACCACGGCTCCCTGTGACATTGTCGAATAAATATACCGCAGGTCAAAAGACAGACAATGGCGTCAGCATCAAGCACGAGCGCCAAGAATCTGTTTGTCGACTCGAAAACTAGGCTGGCCGAGCGCGTGCAGGTGAACATTAACAACATGGGCTCCATCTGCAGACAAGTGAACCGCGGCTCTCAGTCAGCCGATATGTTGACTCACTCGGCACGGAATATGGCTCTGCAGGTCAGCATGGCGGCCCTTGCTACTGTTCCTTTAGTCAAACTTTTTTTTTTCCAGAGAATATTTAGCTCTGATGTTGATATTTCTTCTTTTCCTTCTTCTCCCTTTCCTTCTTTTTCTCTTTCTACTTCTTTTCCTCCTCCTCTTTCTCTTTCTCTTTCTCTTTCTCCTCCTTCGCCTTCTCCCTCTCCCTCTCCCTCTTCCTCCCCTCGCCCTCTCCTTCTTCCTCCCCTCCCCTCCCCCTCTCCCTCTCTCTCTTCCTCCCCTCCTCCTTCTCCTTCCTCTATCTCTTCCTCATCTGCTTCCTCATCTCCTCCTTCTCTTCTTCTGCTCCTGCTCCTCCTCCTCCTCCTCCTCCTCCTCCTCCTCCTCCTTTTTATCAATAATTATCATATTTTGGTGTTCTGTGAGATAGGGAAGTTTTTAAGGTTTGTGTAGACTATTGCTTGCAGTTGAATGGTATATTTCTTGTTTGTATTTAGGAATATGATTTTGTAGTGGGTATAGCATTTTTTTTACTTATTTGCTTGTGAGTTGTGTATTTGAAGTTAAGATGCATCAATTTTATATTTACATTTGTTCTCGTAAAAATAATATTATTAATGATTGCTACATAAAGCATAAAATTATATAATACTTCCCCCTCTCTTATAAATATGTATATTTCAGTACAGGTGTGATCTGTTATTTTTTTTATTTTGACATTTTCATTCATTTTATTGGATAAAGAGATAATATGTAATTGAAAAATTCTGACCACATTAACAAGTATATTTGCCTTTTCACTTCTTTGTCAGATTAGTTTATTCTTTGGGAGTCGTTTTATTTATGTGAATATTTCTGTTCTGTTGATGATTAAACATCTGTCCAGTTATTATTATTGAATCGTCTCTGCATATTTTGAAATTACTAGGTTTACTCCATTGTTTCTGACATTGCAGTTGTTTCTGGTGGATTGGGGAAAAAAAAGAATCATTTCTGGATATATATTGTAGATTGGTGATGCTGATAATTATGTTGAAGAATTTTATTTGATATCAATTTGATGTTGATACATGAGGATGTTGAATCATTATTTTTATACTTTAGTCTGTATTATGGGATTTGAGTTTTCATTCAGGTGTTGTTTCTATGTTCAAGAAATTTATTTGTATATAACTTATATTTTTAGGTTGATGTTTCTTCGTGTATGTAGTGTCCTGCCTTAAAGAGTCCTTTCAATGTCATATCCTATAATATTATGTATGCCACAGCCAAAAGCATAGTTAGCATGATAAATGTATTCCCTGGGTTTTCCGAGCAGCTGACCGTACATGAAACCCCCCAATGCATGGCTTATTATAGTGTGGGGAATTTGTGAATGGGATGAAAAATTAATATGCAGATTTTAAAGATTTGCAGATAAATGTCTCATACTCGATTTGGAATGATCTTTAGATAAAGGAAGTGAAATAGGTTTTTCTGGTATAGCAACATATAGTCAGAAATACAGGACCAGTCTCAGAAACATGAATTTTATCTATAAGAACATGACATGCCATAATGCCTGACTAATACTGAAGGTTCTCTCACTCTTGCAGCAACAGCATGCACTTGAAAATGTCTGGCTTGTCATAGAAGTATCTTCATTATTATGATTTTTTTTCATGTCTTTGCAAGAATGCTAGACTAATCATGAAATTTTCTTCTGTTGAGTAACCAGCATTCAAGAATATTGATACAACTCCTCATTCTGTCTGTTTTAGAAATATACATTCAAGTTGCCTGAATAGTCATAAAATTTCTCTCTCGCAGGAACACGCACTAAAGAATGCCGAGGACAATCTGCAAAAGCTGAATCTGTTGATAACGCACCTTGGCTACCAGCACGATTCAATTCAGCGTTCGGCCTACGCTCTGGAGAATGTGAAGGAACAGGTAACCTTTATAATTTGTTGTTTTAATATAATGACTGCACTATCCATTATAGTTGTATATAACATAGGGTTTTGTTGCGTTTGTACCAGGTATTGTGATTGTGTTATAGATTAGGTTTAGCTGAATAATTTGTTTTGATTGTATTTTCTGTAGATGCTACTAGTTTTGAATTTTATACCTTTGTATCAGCCTTGCATTATCTTTCCACATTCACATTTTTAAGAGCAAATAAAAAGAGAGAGAGAGAGAGTGAGTGAGAGAGAGTGTGAGTGAGTGAGAGTGAGTGAGTGAGTGAGTGAGAGTGAGAGTGAGAGAGTGAGTGAGTGAGTGTGTGTTTGTTTTGAAGTTTAAAAACATATTATATTTTTTACTTCTTTTTTTTATCCAATTACTTTTAACAATTATGTCAGCCTGAATTTTCTCTTTTCTAACAGGTACGGGACATGCAGCGATAGTCCTGGGCGAGAGAAGAGCATAAACAAAGCATAAATATTTTTGGTATATCAAGAGAAAAGGCAAGAAAAGTCCAGACTGATTCAGCTTAAAAAATATATATATTTCTTTTCCAAATACATACCAAAGAAAATAATCAAAGCATATTATACACACCCGCGTAAAATTAAAAAAAAAAAAAAAAAAGGAACGAGGGGAAACCATGAAAATCACCCTAGAATTCCGCGGAGGGGCCGAGCTGCTGGTGAACAACGTTGCCAAGCATTCCGTTGATCTCGAGGGACCCAAGTGGACCATGGCACAGCTGCTGCAGTGGGTGAAGGAGAACCTCATCGAAGAAAGGCCCGAGCTCTTCCTCCAGGGGGATTCCGTGCGGCCAGGGATCCTGGTGCTGGTGAATGACGCAGATTGGGAGCTCCTCGGTCAGCTGGAGTACGACCTCCAGGAGAACGATAATGTGTTGTTTATTTCCACTTTGCACGGAGGCTGATTTTTCCCGTATGAGGCGTATATGTGTTGTGATGTGAGGAATTAAAGATCACTGTGTGATTGTGTGTTTCATTTTTTCTTTTTTTTTTAAGCTGTTTCTCTCTCCATTTCATTTAGATGTGGTGAAATACATGTAATAGCTATCTTAACAACAAACTTGATCAAACTAATTTTTGAATACAGGCAAAAAATAAATAAATAAAAATAAAAAATAAAAATAAAAGCTTTGCAATATATATACACCTCAGGATTTAGAAATCATTAAAATGAAATACTGCAGGTCAAGAAATACTGATCCTAATACTAATGGACTTATTATACAATGATGAAATGAGCGGTAAATGTTACTTTGCTATATGTCAAACTACTAATTATAAATAGAGGTCCAAATATATACAATAAATCCAAACAATAATTTTTGGAAGGTTTATTGAACCAGCACAAGGCGCAATTTATACAATATTCTTGTAGATAATATATCTATACTCTGTAATAAAGTTAAGCATTTATGTTCACTTACACAGGTATGGCAAGTTTGGTCTTTAGAATTTAAAAAGTGAAAGAAAAAGAAATAAAGAGCAAGAGAAAAAAAGAAAGTAAACAGGAAAGACAGAGTGTGTGTGTGTGTGTGTGTGTGTGTGTGTGTGTGTGTGTGTGTGTGTGTGTGTGTGTGTGTGTGTGTGTGTGTGTGTGTGTGTGAGAGAGAGAGAGAGAAGAGTTGAGGGAAAACTGACACACGAAAAATTTAAATGAAATTTGATTCGTATTTACTGATAGTTGGCGCATTGACTGCTTGGCCAGTTAGAGCCACGTAATACCCATGCAGACCAGGCAAAGTCGGATGTGCATGACCCACGGCCTCTGCATATCTGTGCTCAGCAAGCGTCAACACCACGTCCAGTAAGAAGGCACTGTTCCGTCGGATGTTTGGTACCTGAAAGAAGAAAGTCAAATCAAATCTACTATTTGGTTATAAAGGAAAAGAAAAAATGTGCATGTTGGTATGTGGAATAAAATAAAATAAAATGAATTGATTATTAAAAAAAAAGAAAAGTGGATGGTTGTTATCTGGAAGAAGAAAGTCAAATCAAATCTACTATTTGGTTATAAAGGAAAAGAAAAGAAATGTGCATGCTGGTATGTGGAATAAAATAAAATAAAATGAATTGATTATTAAAAAAAAAGAAAAGTGGATGGTTGGTATCTGGAAGAAGAGTCAAATCAAATCTACTATTTGGTTACATAAAAATGTGCATGTTGGTATGTTGAAAAAGAAAATAGAGTGATATTAATTGTCTAATTATTAAAAAAGGAAAAGAAAAAAAGGATATTTGGTATCTGGAAGATGAAAATACAATCAAATTGATTGATTATTATTATTTAAAAAAAAGAAAAAAAAAGGCATTTGGTATTAGGAAGATAAAATAAAATAAAATGTCAGATTAAAAAATGTCATTAGCATACACCAAAAAACTAAAGTTTAGGCTGTGAAATATTATAATGCATAATCTATATTGAGAATGAAAACAAAGCTTTCTTTGTAATGGATATCTCCCTTTAAATGTTTTACATCAAAAATATTTACTGTCAATATCTGTAGCTAAGCAATTTCTAAAGAGTGTCTCTTTCTGTAAAACATCCCCTTTACACAATCATCTTATATTCCTGATTGCGCTAAATGGAGAAGAAGAAGAAGAAAAAAAAAAACATTCTTAAAATAATGTTATCACATGCACTTAAGTCAAATACGATATCTACATTATACTTATTATTTTTTTTTAAAATATTAAGCTAAAAAAGAGCAACAGTACCATATGCAATGAGACATCCACATCACCTATACATTCAAAACTTGTACATTATCCTTCACGTACTTCGTTCTTGAAGAGTGTCTCGTCCAGCGATGCCTTGCAGTGGCGAAGCTGAGCAGAAAAGAGCGCCGTGAGAGACTCGTTGATGAGGTGTTCCGTTTCGGGCCAAAAGAGGCGTAGGACATCCTCTAGGTAGCCCAGGAAAGCGCGGCTGAACTGGATGCTGTTGTTTGTCAATCCAACAGAAAGTTCGTCTGGAGGAAGGAAAGAAAAACAGTTTTTTTTAAATGTAATGACAATTATTCAGTGATAAATATTTGCAGAGGACAAGTAACCAGGTAAAAAGAGGATATTATATAATAGCATATTAAGTTTATGATTTTAAGGCTTTTTGCTTGAAATGCACTTTTTATTCCTCTTTCTACGACAAATTCTAAGGCAAAATTTTCCTCTTACAAAAATAGTCATTGAGATTTAGAGATCCATCATGGAAAGAAAGAAAAAAAAAATGCTTAAGGAACTTCAAAAACATGAACTTGGGATTTAGAAATAAGAGGCAAGGCAAGATGAAAAAGCAGAAAAACAGATATCTACCAATCCTGAGTATTTTTCAACACAACAAAAAGTATTGCTTAGAAAGACTGAGAAGCTTTTACATTTCCAGCAAATATATCAACGAAGGAAAAACAAAAAGCCAATATAAGATGCCAGAAAATACCGATAATCTCTCATGGTTACTCTCACGCACCCGTCACGTAAGTCTGTATGTTGGCGATCCCAATGTCGTTCATGTCCTCGATGAATTTATTGAGCTGGTCCTTGTTCTCATACTTAAGGGTCTTCCATGTGTCTTCCTGTCCCCTTAGCTTGACGGCCTCCACCATCTTGTCCCTACCGTCACGGATCCACTTCTCCACATCACGCAGCAGGAGGGTGTGTAATGCAAACGTCAGGTCTAATCCTATGTCTGCCAGCTGTGGCATTGGCAGGGAGGAAGTAAGGATGGTCAATTAGATGAGATAATGGCAACTGATTATCTTTCACAACATACAACAGCTAATGACAATATATCAGAATACAAGAGGAGAGATTTTTATACAATTTTAAGATACACATCAAAAAAGTGCTCTTTCCTCACCTGCTGGCAGTGGTAATCAGCGCGACTAATACATTCAGCAACCGTGGTGATGGTGGACTGGGTTGTAAACACATGACGCGAGAACATGGAGGCGAAATTTGACACTTCGTTGTGAGCCCACACTACGAACGCTATAGAGGAAGAGCAGAGGATATTTCATTAGTTTTGGCAACTGTAATTTCTTCTTTAAAACCTTCTAAGCTGAATTAACTAGACATCTTGCTGTGGATAAAAAAAGGTAAAATAACACCTAATCAGTTTTTGCATCTACAACTTAGGTGCAGATGATTTTGATGATAATGGTGATGATGAAGAAGGTAAGGGTGATGGTGATGATGATGATTGATGAAGATGATGGGGAGAGGAGTATGGAGGAGAAAGAAGAAAAAGACCAAAAAGAAGTATCAGAAAAAAGAGCCACGTAGCCCCCTAACCTGAAGTACAGCTACGGTTGGCCGGGAAGGCTTTGGTGAACTCGCGTCCCGTCTCCAGCAGATTGTGGAAGAAGATGGAGCAAAGCTGTCGGACATAAAGCACCGTCTTGCCCTCTAATCGCAGCCGCTTGAGTCCTGCCTTCAGTATGGCCCCGCGATGACCAAGGAACAATTCGCAGGCCTGTGTCGTGGGGCGAGACCGATCCGTTTAGAATATGACGGGTCTGGGATTTTTATGCTGATTATGTTAGATGGCTAATACACCGAATAAATAAAACATACTAGAGTTATACAATGATGTTGTTTCAGTTCTCAAGAGGTTAGTATTAGTATCATGATCTGGTTTCGAATGTGAATAGACTAGCCTTCTTAACCTAATCACTACGGATCTATGTACTGTTCACTGTAGTTTTTTGTGAAATTTGTTACAGACAGATGGCTCCACATGTGATCAGCCACTAAGGAGTCTATCAGTAGGCCCTAGTGACCGATCCTGATTTTCCCATTCCTTGAAATTGCCCCAAAATGTGATATTGTTATTATTCTTGTTGATATTACGATTATTAAAGTGTTATTAAAATTTTGGCAACTTTAAGGACAATTAAATAATACAAAAGAAACTTTCAAAAAATCAAGGAAAAGGATAAACAGGGGAGATAAGTAGGACTAATAACTGACTCCTTGGTGACTAATTACCTGCAGAGCCATCTATGTGTAATTATAATAAATGGACTTATATTACAAAGGTTGTTGTATTCTTGCCATCTGTGCCAAGTGGGTTAAAATGGTCATCAAAACTATCCCCTTTACATTGAGATGCTTAATATGTTTCCTCATATATCATTAACCCCTTGGTGCCGGGTGATGCCGATCGGCGTGCAAACAAACCGCTCGAAAGCTGGCATGCGGCTGTACGCCATGGCAGCGCGCCAAAGCACGGCGAGCCAGTGATTCGGGTTGATGTCCCCTACTCCCCGCCGCCTTTGTTTGCTAGAGCATAGAGTTTTTTTTTTTGTTTTGTACACCCGGCGTCATTGGGCTAATAAATCCAGCATCAAATTATCAATAAATATCTGTTAAGAAGACTTTTTTCATACCTGACTTGATTTGTTGAGATGCACTAACAGCGTGGTTGCCCTCCGAGCTGCGCGGGGACCTCCCTGTAAACTCTTCTCTGGGGTTACGCGCAATTCCCCTTGTAGCACCTCCACCAGACTGCGCACCCTACCTTCCAGGGCACGTCTGAAAAAAATAAATAAAAAAATAAAAGATTCTGTATTTCATTTCACTGATATTCTGACTAAGAGCAGAGAAATAAAAGGAATGAGAAAAAGAAGAAAAAGAAGAAGGAAGAAGGAAAGAAGGGGGGAAAAAAAAAGCTTTCATCTCCCCTTGCACATACGACAAAAACATAAAAAAAAAAAAAAAAAAAAAAAAAAACAACAAACAAGTCGTAAGAACCATCAGCCATTATATTCAAAAACATGACACAGAAAAGTGTTGGGTACAGGAATTATCTCCCAACCCTACAAACCCTCCTCCACTCTCTCTCTTACACACACACAAACACACACAAACACACACACACACACACACACACACACACACACTACTCACCTCATCTCATTATAAGCTGCAGTTTTGGGTGCCGAGTCAAAGAACTCACGGCCGCTGTCGATGAGGCTGACAGCATCTTCAAAGTTCCTCTGCGCAATGGCTTGGTCTAGTTCCTCGGGCAGCTCCAGCACCCACTCAGGGGGCCCTACAGAAGGTGGCTGTACCTCCTGGAAAGGGTTCAAGCTGTCGTCGTCGTCTGCGAAGGCTGTGGGTGGATAACGAGTGTTGATTTTGATACACAATACAGATAGTTCCCTACTTAAGAATATTCTAATTATGAACATTCCATACATACGGACAAATTATCTTAAGTACTAAAGTCCAAAAAATTGTTTGAAAGATGCTAGCAAACTTCAAATTTCCCGGGCACGAATATAGTTCAAGAGTACTGGTACTGTATAAGGTATGTCGT